TCTTCCTAATAAAGAGTAAATGTCTTCCTTACAAAAATAAGGTGTCACAAAAATTGGTGATCTACAGTATACAAGCCCTAGATGGAATTCCAATTTACCTATGTTTTACCGTATCAGTGGAAATTTTAGCGAGATGCAAATTTAGCAATTTCTACCTAAAATATGGTATTTTATTTTTACAGTTAAAGTGCACAAAATGCTATTACAAATAATAAGCAATTAATTTTTAGCGATATTCAATTTTAGCGATGTCAGCACCCTCGCTAATAATGCCAAAATTAAATCCTCGCTAAAAATTCTACTTAATATACAGTACTTTACAGTTAGCACAAAACTGTAGTGCAGGAACCAGGATTTTTTTTATTGGGGGGATCCTTCTGGGGCCTTTCAAAGCTCTTAGATTCTTCTGTTTTTAAAAAAATGCTTTCAAATTTTTTTTAGCTACACCTTATGCATTAAAGCAATACATTTGTATAAGAGAGTTGCCTGATAAAATCATATAGACAAGTAATTCAGAGTAAAAAATAATCACCACTGCTTTCTTAAGTTTTCCCTATTATTTAGCATGTACGTTTTACATCAATTAATATGTATACATAGCAAATTTTATAAGTTTTATGCTCAAATAAACAAAATATGAGATGTTAAGCTATGTGTGGTATTGGATTATGATGCAGGGATGGTATCCTAGCTTGCTTTAAAGGTTGGATAAGCCCATGCTCTTGGATTATTGCTCACTCACTGTCACACTGTGGAGTTCCCTAGTTCTTATTAACAGTCAAGACTCAAGGGCCAAATATCAAACAAGGATGGGACCTAGTGAAAACTTGCAATTTGTCAAATTGTGGAGAGTACTTACTTTCATTGATCTAAATGGACAGCGTTTTAAAATTAATAGACGAAATTAAAAACTAGACAAAATCTTTCTCTGACTCTGGTATTTCAATATAATTTTATAAAAACGAAATAAAAACGTATTTTTAAAATTCAAATTCCCGTGTATAGTGAACAAAAATGATATGACAACTCACTTATTATAGACTTTCTTGATACTTCTATTAAGACTATTCATACATGGATGACCTTTACATTACGTCATGGTCAAGAAAATAACAATGAATCACGATCGACTATAGACACTTTCGTCTGTGCGTAGAAGAAGCGCTTAGAACGTCTGCAGAACCATTTATATTTGTTCAAATAATGCATACCTTTCTATAATATAATAGAATATCATGAAAATACTACGTGTTATTTACGTTTTTCTTCCAACTGTGTTCCCCGCCATCCATCATTTCTCTTTTTGGTGAAAGTCACGTGACCCGTTTGATGCTGAGGTCAACCGAGCCCGACCAAAATTCCGGTCAAATCCAAGGCATTTTTGCCAGAAACGATTTTACACAGTTTCTTTAATACAATATTAACATAAGTGTCAATTTTTATTATTGATAAATTTGTTAAAGCCATAGACTACAATGGACTAGAATGCTTATTAAATATTTGGAAAAAGAAATCCATTCCCATAGATATCAAATTTTCCTCACAATTTGAGGCTTCAAAGCACTGAGGACCATATTGTTTTGATTAAAAAAAAAAAACATATGTACTTCCCTGAGATTCGTGCATTGGAGTCATAAATTTTTAATTTGTTTATAATTTTTTTAAAAAATAAAAATACTTAATTTTTATTCCCCTTTAATCAAAGATTTGGGGTATATAGTTTTGCACTGTCTGTCTGTCTGTCTATCTGTTTGCAAAAACTTTAAACTTGCTCATTGCTTTTGAATGGGTGGGACTATATGGCTTTCAAATTTCACAGGTATATTCCTTGTACTAGCTGTGACAAGACAATTTTCCATGTACCGCCTCTTGACCTGGGAGTTTGACCCATGTATTTTACAAAAGAATATCAAACTTGACCATAACTTTAGAGCAATTGGTGCTACGGTTTTCATACTTCACAAGAGTACTCATTGTGACATGTCCTTTCAATGGTTATAAGTATTTGTCCTTTTGACCGTGATCTTAGAGTTTGACTTACTTTTAAAAAGTTTAACCTTGCATGGCCATAACTTTTGAACAGTTAATTAGTTCTAGGGCTTTCATATTTCACAGGTTTATTTCCTTGTGATACGACCTAATTCTTTGGATACCAAAAATTTTAACCTTGGACCTTGACCTTGGATTTTTGACTTGCATTTGAAAAACTTCAATCTTCACAATAAGCTAGCTGCCATATGGGGACATCAGTGTTTCACAAACACATATTGTTTGTTTAATATTTCCTTTGTATACAATCACACATTTCTCTTCAGCCAGGATTTTAATATTATCAAGTTGCAATTATATAATTAAATGCATGATCATGTCTGCTATATATTGGTTTATTACTGGGGCTGAATTTATATATGGTAGTGATTTATCAATGAATATTGTTTCACTAGTCATATTGTGTCAGCTTGTCTGTAAATCTATCTATAAGCACCAGTGTAACATCTTGCTTGTATAGTGCCCACACATAAGTTTTATCAGAACTAAACTATAATTGCATGGCTGAAAACTGTAAATATATAAATTAATAAATATGAGGAAAAATTATCAATTTCTTTCATCTTTCTCATTTAATTACTTGTTTATATGCTTCTTGAATCTTCATGATCCTCTAAGAGTTTCTTTTCTAGAAATTTGCATTATACATTTCCACCATTTGTTTAAAAGGGCAACTAAACATCGATTTTTTTTTATACTTCCACAATTCATTTTTCTATGGGCTTGAAATGAACCATGACATTTCTGAACAAATAAATTCAATATCAAGATTCTGACCAAATTAAGTCAATTTGTTATTTTTGTTACAGCAAAAAGTAGGCTTTCCTCTCATTAATTCAGATGCTGTAACCTTATACCTTTGGTGTGATCACTCAATTAATCCTAATAATTAAGCTTATTCTGCCCACATCCTACTTTTTTATTTTTTAAATAAGTGAATGATTGTTGGCTACATTTTTATGACCTATTAGCTTATTTTGATGACCTAAACTCTTCATAGATGTGAAAATGTTGATTGTAAACATTTTATAAAACTGGAGCAAATGCTTTTTTGTGTTTCCCCAATTTTTTTTTTTTTTTGAACTTTACATAACATACTTAATCTGACCTTGACCTTTAAGAGAGCAACAGGCTTTTTCAGTATGCCTAATTAAATATGCATTTATTGTCTGACGTACAAAAATATACAACAGGTATGTTTTAATTTTTAATTCTATTCGATCATCTTGGCCCCAATCAAATATTATAACCCCATAGTTAATAACTTAGGCAATAACCTTTTCATCTAAATTTATGAATGAAATTCCATACTACTTCATTTATGGCTTTCTTCCTGGAGATGTGGACCAGTTTCTTTAATAAAAAAAAAAGCATCCATATCTACATTGTTCCCATTTCTCAAAAAAAGGGGGAAAAAAGCACAGCTGAAACAACGAGTGATATTTTGGATGACTCTTCAGTTATTCTCAAAGTACCTGATAATCTTCTACCATCAATGAATAGCTAGGATGGAGATCTTAACGAGGGTCATTCAAAAAGTTTTGTTCTCCACAGCCCTCCATAGAAAATTGAATGTTTATCACTTCAAACACACTTTTTATAGTTCATTGAATTCTTTCTCAATCACACCATCTTTGCAGAAAAAGAATTGCTTGAGTTTTTGAAAATTGATCTACCCTTCACATGACACTACGAATTTATTTTGGGAAAGAAAGTACAACAGCAGAAATAAGAAGCTAAATAAAAGCCTATGCTTATAACTTTAAAAATCTGTAAAAGAAACATTCAAAGAAGTTCACAATATTTATAGAAACCAACAACCGTCATTATATAGAACTGTTCCCAGGTGGTTGAAGAAATTCAAAGATGGATTGATTGATTGTATGTTGTTTTACGTCCCATTTGAGAATTTTCACTCATATATAAAGACGTCACTATATAGTGGTGAAGGGCTTCAAATTTTTACCTTTACTCAGCACTCAGGATCATTGAGCAGTAAGGGATCTTTATCCTATCAACACACAGGGCCTAGGTTTTAAACGTCTCATCTGAAGGACCCGCAACTTTCACTCCACAGAGCTGAGCATATGGGGAAGGAACAGTTACTTAACCCATTTTTTATGGGCTTGTGTCAGTCGTAGTTGAGATTCGAACTTGTGACCTCCCAATCATGAAACATGCGCTCTACCAACTGAGCTATTGTGAACAATATTTAAAGATGGAAGAGGAAGTTCACTCTGGAAGACCAAAATTTGACTATTTTCAGAATAGCAACAGGAGACGAAACATGGGTGCTTACTTTCAGACCCATGGAAAGTTTATAATAATTATAAGTATGGATGACAAAACATGGAAAGCATCCAGTTATTGCTAAATGCTGTCAGAGCACAAAAAAGATTCTCTATGCCATTTTTTCTATAGTGGGAGGTTATGTTGTGATTTTCTACTCCCAAGAATTGAAATGTCTCTGGAAAGATGTATAAATTGACCATCATATTTGCTGCCAAAAATAAACAAAACTTCTCACCTGGCCACAGAAACATAAACACACATACTTATAGCCAAGTTTTGAAACTGCCTTGGATGCAATTTCAGTCTGCTTTGAAAGGTGCTGCTGATATATTTTGTATAATCTTAATCTCTTAATATGATAATTTGATTTTTGTAACCTGAACTCCAAATCTAGTTAGCTGATGCCATATTTCATACAGCACTGGCTACAGGAAATGGTAGCAGGTCTAATGTTAGTGGGCATTGGGCATTCAAGCCAAAATCCCCAAGCATAACTGCAGCTAGGACTTAGTTATTATGCTGGATTTTAATAATAATAAAAAAAGTAATGGCAGTTTTTTTACCAATAAGGAAACTTCTATAGTCTTTTTGTTCCCTTCATTATGTTCTGATTTATGAAAAAAAGGATATAAAATTTCAAACAAGAAAATACCACAAACTTCATAAAAAATATTTATTTAACAATAAAATTTACATACTGATAAAAATAAAGTTTATCATTAACATAACATTGATTGATTAACCCACATTTCAAAATCTTGTACAATATAATTCAATGGTAACAGTATTTCTTTTAAATCTTGCATTCCAGTTGGAAATTGTGTCAATATATGCACAACAAGGCTTGGCATTTTTATGTATCTCTGAAAACACAATTTTCTTCAAAGAGCCTTCAGGTTTTTCTTTGGTTTAAATAAAATTGATCATTGGAGAAATCAAATAAAAAAAAACACACCATATGCTAATTCAGAAAATGACCCTCATCCAGCAAATCCTTAAGTATGTTTGTATGAGGGTTCCATTCACTTAAAAAATAGGCCAATTCCCAGGCCTGTTGGTTTAAACAAAAAATGCTCAATGACCATCACCCGTATTTCAAAAACATTAAGTGGTAAGACTGTCTGCTATTTATCTGATTTTAACATCATCAGGTTCAGAAATATATTCAAAATTGATAATCATTGTCTGTCAAATTGGCAGTAAGATTATAACAATGAGGTCATCCTAAACCCACATCCAGGGACATCATTACCACAAATAATGACTGCTCCCTATAAGGTCATCCTAAACCCACGTCCAGGGACATCATTACCACAAATCCAATGACTGCTCCCCATGAGGAAATCTTCCCATTACCACTGAAAAATAAGAAATCTAATTACTACAGTACATCTTAGCAAACAAGAGGCCCATGGGCCACAATGCTCACCTAAGTAATTAGCCCTGCTGGTAGATTTCTCCCTATCTATTCCTATGTAAAATAATCACATATTGTAGTCCAAACCCATCCCTGAAGATCCTGATTTGAACAAACTCGAATCTACACTACCTCAGGAGGTTTCCACATAAGTATGATTAGTGATCATGGCTTTTCTTTTCTTGACAAAATGATGTTCTTAGCAAAACTTGAATCTACACTTATAATGCAATGAAGCTTTCATATGTTTTGCCTTTTCTGGCCCTGTGGTTCTTGTGAAATTTTTTTTCAGTGATGCCATAATTTCCATTAATCTCCCTTTGAGAGAGGACAAAAGCAAGAAGAACTCTAAAAATTATGATCCAAAACTAAAATGAACCATTTCATACTACACACTGAATTTATTTTCTTGTCCCTCTATCTTTTGCCTCAAAATCAAAATCTGCATGGGTCTTTCTCAAGATGTAGAGAGTCATCACCTTAAGATCTATTGCTCAAAACTATTGAAAATATTTTATGCAAAAATGGCTTTATACCTGTCTTTGCCCTTTGACTTTTTAAAACTTAAAAGCAATAGGTCTTTAAGTCATACAAATCATCGTGTGAAATTTCATTGCAAAACTTTTAAGTACTTTTTGAACATCATGAATGTTTGACATTGCCCTTTGACTTTTTAATCTAAAAATTAACAGGGGTCCTCTTTATTCCATTAAATATGAGAGTACAATGTTACAAAATGATAGAATGACAGACAGAGAAGAAGAAAACATTTGCTATGGACTTCAACTTGACATTTAGATATACTGACCACATAATATCAATTAACAATAGTTACTTCCATTCATAAGTTGACTTGGTATACTCCAGTGAGCTTGAAATAAAATATATCACAGAATCTAACACACCTGTTTTATATTTGACTATTTTACAAGAAAAAGACATTAACGGTTACCTAACAACAAAGCTTTATGAAGACTACAGTTTTTCAATTACCAACTTCCCTTACTTATGTACAATTAAAATACCTTTTTCAACTGCATATAGGGTTTACATGTATATCTCTCAGTTAACTGAAAATATGCAAGAGCATATTCTTGAGCAATTTCTCAAACTAGGCAACTACTGACAAACAAGTTGATAAGACAAGGAAGTCAACAATCTCATTTGACGACATCATTTCAAGTTTTATGGTCAATACAATGACTTTGTCAGAAAATACAATTTAGCTATCATTGAGTAAAATGCTGACTCATGTTTTACATACAAATTGTAAAGCCATTTTTTACACACTGAAAGTCTATGGGTTTTTCTGTTTTTCCCAGTCACACAGGGGTGTGATTGGTTGGCAGGGGATGCTCACTCCTCCATGGCATGTGATCCCACTTCTTATGTTTTAGAAGTCTGTGTTTGCCCTGCTCCTGATTTGTATTGTTTATATGGACTTTGTTACCTCCAAGGATGGAAAGACAGACCCAAATATATCTGACTCTTAGGAATACTGGGAACAAAAAGCATGATCATAAGATCTAAAATTTTGAATACAGCTGTAGTTAAGCCCCTTAAGGAAGTTAATCTTTATCAAATTTAAGTTTTTTTCTGATTATATAAAATGACAAAGTTCAGGTTACGCCTTGCACTGACGGTTTACACAATCCTATCCACCTACTCTTCTCATGCTTCCATCCCTTCCAATTTAATGAATCAATATATTTTCTAAAAATATACATTTTTTTGCTGTTAAAAAAATCTGAAACAATCAAGTTTAAATCTAAGAACAATTACGTGGTAGGCATCTTATTCTCATCTCCAATTACAATGTGTAAAATTATCTATAAAGGGGAGGGGGGAAAATTATATACTCTACTTATTTTGCACTAAAACAATGAAAGAACATGTATGATTCCACTAAAAAAAATAGCTTTTTTATCATGAATTGATGGAAACCATCCTTCTTTAACTCCATTGTTAGAGAGTTGAGGAAGGGCCAGATACATATCATGGTGTACAGAAAATATTGTTATGATCAGTAAAATGGCTGAAACAGTCAAAATCTCTATAACTGTTTTTCTCTTCTAGTGTAAGAAAAATCATTTTGCAATTTATTATTGATATAGGAGCACAAGTTTGTATTGTGACACGGTGGGTACAATGAGAAACATTTATATTTTACATGTAACATAATTGCTCTACTGGGTACCCGAATGGAGAAAAATATTGCATATTACACCTGTTCAAAAGTAGGTGTCAGTGACCTTCAACTTGCCAAAATGACTTAAGGTGGCAAACAAGTACCTTCATATCATACAAAAGTTTTGTTTTAACTACGACTTTTCAAAGTTTCCCCATTTCAAAAATATGACTTTTAAAGACATGATTGCAGACAGGAAAACTAATAGAAAAACTTGTCTGCAAAGGGTGTTGGAGGAGGGAATTATAAAAAGAGATTTCTTGCCAGACAAATAAAACTTTTTATCTAAATGATATGTTTGATATGTCTAAATGATATGTTTGAATTTTTTAGTCATATACCAGAGAGACCTAATATTCCAAGCTTAAAAATGACAAGGAGCGAAACAATTAAATGAAAACAAATCTAGTACCCAATGACAGACAAGAGGCCCATAGGCCACAATACTCATCTGAGTCAATACTTCATCAGCAGATTTTTTAACCATTATATTCTTATGTAAAACTTTGATCACCCATCCCCCATGGGTCCTTTTCTCAACAAACTTGTATCTAGTAGATCACTACCTGAGGATGAGAAAAGCTCAATTCAACTTTCAGGTGAGCTAATAACGTGAAAATTTGACGAGTTTGCACTATGAGGACCAAACAAGGAATAATAAATACCGGCATGAATTTAGCAAAGTGCTTTAGAATTAATTTATCAACAGCTCATTCTGTCAATGTGCTTGATATAAATATACTGGAATATATACATGTACAAATCATTTTTAAAAATATTACAGAATACACAACATCTGGATTAGAAAAGTTTCACAGTATAGCAGTATACTTGATTTACCAGAGGCTTCTCTTCCCACCCCCACCCCCATGTTTCTAGTGCTAAATAGAATAAACCAACAAACATATTGTGTTTACAATAAAGTTTTAGCCATAATTTGTCAAAAAATGGTTTTAATTAAACTACTTTATTGCTTAAAACTATATATTTACAAAATACACCAGACAAAGAATTAACTTTGAAGCCATCTTTAACCCGGCAAGCAAAATATGAGCTATAATATTCTAAAAGAGCTATAGATCTTCTTACGACTTCTTCCTTTGAAGTGAAGGACTGCTGCTGTATCATTTTCTCACTTTGAGATGCATGCAACATGCAATGAACAGCTCAAATAAAATATGAATAAGTCATTTTTCATTGCAATTCTTCATTGTCTGTGTACTTTGTGCATCATTCACTGATGAGAAAAGTGCTGACAGGTTGTGTGAACTTGAAATTAGCCTATGACATATTGTAAAGCTATGCATTTATATGAATGGGAGTTCCATGCACGATCTTCATGGCAAAGCACAATTAGTGATGTGAATAATTAATTACTCTCAGTCATGCAAAGTGGAGAAGAATTACTGTATAGTACTTCAAGCTGTATTTTGTATTTTGCCACTTAATGTAGCTCACATCAGAGTCAGGGAATAATTAAGTCAAGGGCCCGTAACTCTATCTGGCAATGGCCTCACATGTGCATTCCACATACTTTTTTCTATACTTAGACTCATCAATCAAACCCCACAGGAAATACCTGTTTGTTATGTGGGTCACTGGGTTATCAAACACCTACACTGAATGACTTTAAATAACCTCTCTTCAGCCAACACTCATGAGTGCTTAAAAAAATCCAGGCAATTATTGAACACAATTTTTTTTTCTATAAATGATGTAAAAAGCATCTTTTTCCTCCCTAATCTCTCATAATTAAATAACAAATTCCCCTGCCATAATTTGTGTTCAGCATGTGAGCAATTCAGTGGGTGATCTGCTTGTAGAAAAGGGCTTGGTGTAAAATGCGGAGGATGGAGTCTCCACAAAACTCCAAAATGGAGGGTCAGAGAGTGCAAGGGGTGGAGCCTCTTGTGTTAGATGATGCAGGAGGTGGAGCATAATGCTTGTCGTAATTTTAGCACGTGCTTATTAGATCTGTCATCTCATTTTCTGATACTCCGAGAGAACGTGTTAGAGTGTTACATTACCAACAATTAAAAAAAATAATTTCATTGAAGTTGAGTGAATGAAACTCAGTTATATCTCCCAACCTGATTTTGTGATGACCATTTGACAGTATCTGATGACATTTGTTTATAAAGTCCATAAAATACAAAATGAGAAACAAAGAAACAGGAAACAGTAAAAAAAAAAATAATGAACACCACATTTCAACGAGGGGAACAGCTTTGCTGATTATTTAATTTTTAAAGATAACAGAGACTGACTGAAACAGAATAGCATCAAAATTATTACCTGTTGGTGATATTTTATAAAGATATATATATAAATAGACTGATATGTATATAAAGGTGTCAATATGTCGGCCTCATTACAAAACACCTATTACCATCTGAAATCTGATTGCTGTCGAAGACACTGTCCAATGTTTGAAATGTGCCGTGATGTCATTATTCACTCAGAAATATTATCCCATTTTAGAAAAATTAAAAATAATTAAATAATAGATTCAGTGAATTAACTGATTGTTTTACACAGAACTCTGACCATTAACTGTTTTTATTTTATTTTATTTTTTTGCTTTAAAAAGAATGAGAAACAAGCATCATGATAAAGAGACAACAAAATGAGAATCGAAATGACCTACAGATATGAGAAACAAATGAGGGGCATGCAGCCCGTGCTTGTGATTTAAATTTTGTTTTGCGATATCACAGATGCTAAGTGCAATGGAAACTGTCTGATTCACACTG